GAGTTGTATCCAAATGATTGTTAGGAGTGTTTGCATTTCATAGAGAAGATTTCAGAATGGGTCATATTTTAATATTAATAATTAATATTTTAATGGGAGACTTCACTTGGATTTTTATTCAGCTGCAAATGGGTCTGTACAATCACCCTTTTCAAACTCCTTGTCGATTTCCGAGACTAGTCTCTTCTCTAGACGTCTCACAATGGGCAAGTGTCGGAGGTTGTACTTGAGTATTGAGAAAAAGCACCCATGATCCTGATTTCTACTATCAGATTCCAATCCATCTCCCCCGCCTTTTGAAAGGTTGGATAAAATTGCTTATTTCGTTCAACGCAAACGCTTATGTTTGAATTGTTTACACCGCATCCTAGGCAGCAAGGAGGAAAGTAAACAATATATAGTCGTCTGTACGGAAAAATAAACAATATATAATTATCTGTATTTACCAGAAATAAAACGTACGATATTTACCCATTGTGTCTGTATTTTAAGGCTGCCAGAACTGCAATATATGGGTGTGTTTGCTGATAGACTGTAACTATTTTCTTGATTATCACCATTGTTTTGCAGTGCGGCATTATTTAGTTCAGGTTCTCTCCAATCGTGGGGATAGCGCAGTAAATTAATACAGACTAATGTGCCATATTCATGGCTCAAAGCAGTTTCATAATTTAGGCATAAGGATCAGAAATATTCTCGAAGAAGCAATGGATTCGAAGAACCTGGTTCCTGAGGCAAGACGGGTGACGTTACACACGCTCATGGTTCATCTCGAGAACGCGCTAAAGTTCCACCGTCGTCTGCAGAAACGCAACATCACTCCTCACAAGATTCTGCGCCTCTTCAACCTGCCTTACTCCTCATTTTACGTCACCGTCGTGTACACGGTGGTCAAGCTTCTTTACATGGGCAACGTGGTCATGCAGTTTTTGCTGATGAACTTCTTCCTGCAGCATCACACTGGCGGCTTCTATGGATGGGACATGTTGTCGAAACTTCTGAACGGCACAGAGTGGGACTCTTCTGGATTTTTCCCAAGAGTATCGCTATGCGACTTTGAGGTAAGTTGCAATTAATGATGTGTTTACTGGACAAATTAATTAGCGTGACTGACGGTCAGTAGTACACTGATTATACTGCATACACGTCTTTGCTCAGGTGTCGTAATCCGTCCATACTGATATGGCCTGAAACGAATTTGCTTTACCGTCCACATCGGCAATGCGCGGTATTTACCACAGTACTGCCTAAGCCTCAGCCTGCAT